CCTCAGTTCATCAGGCAGTGGAGCTGAGACACAACAACTTGCTAACCTCGTTATTTTACTATGTCTGTGAGTGAGAGGTCGGTGACCTAATTTATAGAAAAACCAAGACTTGGAGATGGAAAGACAGCACCCACCTCCTCGTAACTGAACTGCAGGAGACCTGGGACTACATACAGTCATTCTGAGTCCCACTTTAGAGATGTTATTTGAAGAGCTCTGGCAACCACTTTATTTCTTCATGAGAGTGCTCTAACCCATCTGAGTGGCTGTTTTGTTACTCTGTGTTCCTTCTCTCATCTTAAAGCACTTATATCTAAAGAGCTGGATAGATGCCTTTCAGTTGGAGATAACCTTCTGTATCCATGACTGTCATGTAAAAAACCACCCCGAGAATTTTGTGACTTAAAGCACCATTTATTATTGCTCACAGTCTATGGTCAGCTGGTGGTCTTCACAGAGGCCAGGTCTCAAGTCCCAGTGACTTGAGAAAACAAGAATTTGTTGAAGAGATAGTGGGAGCTAACAACACCATGGAGTTGGGAGGACCCAGTTTGGAAAGCAGGCCAGCGTATCCAGGCAAGCTGAGGATGCACAGATTCTGCTCTGCAGTGACACCACCTGCAAGGGAGCTTCTCTGAAGTGCTCATGTCTGTGGGAATCAAAGGACACATTGACTGCTTTCTGTTATACCATCTGTAGTGGTGAAATCCTGAAGACATTTGCACCTGTATCAGTTAGCTATTGCTGCATAACAAAACAACCGAAACTCAGTTGCTTAAAAAATAAGCTTGTTATTGCTCTCTTGAGTCTATGGCTCCAATGGACAGTTATGAGGTATTCACATTTTGGAATAAACATATAGCTGTTAAAATGAATGAACTTGATCTACAACTGTCAACATCAACAAATATGATGTTGAGGCAGGAATGCAAGGTACAAAAATAATACAACTAATACATTTGTATAAAATGTAAAACGTGTTTATAAAACGAGGGATGATCTGGAGGGCTCTCTGGAGAACTGTCAGAGACCATGTAGTCACCTCCTGACAACTTGCCTCCCAACATCTTCCTCAGCCTTCTTAAAACTGTAGGTGTCTCTCTGAAGACATGGGAGGGAAGGTGGGAGGGGCAAGGAAGAAGGGAAAAAGGCTTTTGAGTTCAGACATTCTACCTCTGTATTTTGAGTGACATTTTTTCTTACTGAGTGTCTGTTGTATGCAACACTGCAGCTAGCTAATTTATGTGCAAAGGAGACAAGAACTCTCAACCTCATATCAAAAAAATTTAAAATACACCTTTCACTCCGCTGGGAGCAGGCACAGTAAGAGGGACACACAGATTTGGGTGGACACATCAAGGCTAGAATCTCCTATACCCTGGAGACCCTTGGAGTTTTGCCTGGTGTCCAGACCTCTCTTCTGAACTCTAGACTTCTCATTCTCATTGGGATGTGCCACCAATGCCCCAGACCCAGCACACCCAGACTGAACCCACATCTTCCTGTGGTAGGGAGGAAGGGAGGTAGGGAGGGTGTGGTGGTGGGGCCTTCAGCACATACAGCTGCTTCTGGTGCTTCTGGGAATGCTGTCTCCTTTTGGGCTGTAGGGGCTAGGCCTTGGGCAGGCTAAGGCCACATAGCATAGTCTTCCACCCCCATGCCATCCTGGGGCTGGTTGAGGATGGACAGAGAACCTGGCTGGCCAAGGCTGGAGCAGGGCATGCATATGAGTTACAGAGGGCCTGCTGGGCACCTGTGTGCATGTGTTTATGGAAGCATGTCAGTGGGGCAAAACAGGGGCAGGAGATCAGGAAGGAGGCTACTGTGTGGTCTAGGTAAAAGTGATAGTGGCTTGTACCTGGCTGGTTGCCATGGCAACTGAGAGCCAGGGATGGATTGTAGAGAGATGGAGGAGAGAGAACCATGAGGGCTTGGCAGTGCATGGATGTAAAGTTGACAGGGTGGGCAGGTTGGGATGGCTTCCAGGATTTGGTTGACTCGTAGCTGAGCAGACAAGGGACCTAGAGGGAGTAGGGCCTCCCTCATACCATCCTCTTGGTTGGCCAGCTGTGTCTAGCCATGCGGACCAGGGCAGCAGGCAGCAAGTTGTTGCCACAGTCTTGTAGGAGGGTTGCGCTCAGGTGCAGAGGCCTATCCAGGGCCATGCTGTCGGCCCAGAGTGTGAGTGGTAAGTGCCACCCTCTTTGCGGCCTCACCCGACCGGGTCCCAGGGACCCCTGGGTGTCAGAAGCCAGACTTTGCCTCTCCTGGGACCTCCTCTGGGATCCACGTCCAGGAGATGAGTCCAAGCACTATTCCTGCCCAGTGATGTCACCAGACCCAGGGCTGGAGCACACAACCCACCTGCCTTTCACATTCTCATATGCCAGGATCTCCAAACCTCCCACACTAGACTTGACCCCTTGACACATCCTGTACTTATCCTCTTGCCCTGCTGGCCCTGCACACAATGCCCATTACACACTCACACCGCCATTGCCCACACCCACGTCTGCACAGGCACTACTGCACAGACACTCTCATCCATGTCTGACTGATGGCCACCCTAGGGTCACACACCTCTGCCCCCGACCCATTTGTACAAAGTCCACAGCCCTGAGTGCAAATTATGTGGACCCTCATTCCAGATTTCATACCGACCTGTAAACTCATAGGTCCCCTGTGACTACCTCAGGTAGCTCTGAGACAATGAGAGTCACCTGAGGAGACTGTGCTGTCCCTAATCTCTGCAGAGTTGTGTTGGGATGTGGGAGAAGGAGGCCTGTGACCCAGAGTTTGGGGCTAGCCCTCAGGGTGAAGATGGGAGAGACACTGAGAAGCCAACCTCACTCATGAAAAGGAGAGCTTTATCCAGGTCAAAGCTGGTTTGGTGGAGTGAGCTCACCATCCCAGGAGTGCAAGCATGGACTAACTTCTCCCAGTGGAGAAGGTATAGGGGGGCCTCAGCCCAGAGACCCTGGAAACTGGACCTGGGGTGGGGCTGGGGGAAGGTGGGTGGGATGGAGGAGCTGGGCCAGGCCATGAGCTTAGAGATGCTGAAGGGGCCATCTGGGAAAGGGAAGGGCTGGAGGGACAGGCAAGGCTGGGGCCAGCAGTCCCGGAGGGTGAGGGCTGTCTGCTGTGGCCACCATAACTCAGCCTGGGCAGACAGTTTCCTTTCTCCTGCCTGCTTTGGAGGAGCGGGACCCATTCTTTGAACTTCAAAGGGATCAGTGAGTGTAGCCCTGAAGCCCAGGTAGTCCAGAGACCTGTCCCCATCAGTCACAGGTTCCAGGTCCTGTGTTTGCCACCCACTCACACGGTCTTGCCACACCTTGCCTCCTGGTTTGTAGAATGTGGTCACAGCCGCCAGGCCCCAAAGAGGAGGCATAGGACTGAGCTCCTGCACTCACTGCAGAGGCCACAGGCTAGGCCTCCAGGGCTGCTCCGGCTCCTGAGTCCTATAAGCTCAATTCAGGATGGAGCGGAGACATGTAGTTTCTCATACCTTTAGGAATTAAAAAAATCTATCATACCTTTATCATCTTCACAGACAGTCAGAGGGAGAGAGAGGCATTCTTATTCTTTCTTTCCCCGTTGCACAGGTGGGAAATGGAGGGCAGAGACATCAGGTCTGCCTCCAGGCCACACAGAGAGGCCTCTGGCCCATCCAGTCTGTCCTCAGAGCTCATGGCATGTGTGCTTGGGGTTAGGAGTGGAGCAGTATTAGTTTGTGGAGATTTTGATCCTTTCACAGAAGGATCACTGGCCTGGGCTCCACCATTGTGCCCTGTGTAGCCACAGCTGTCCTCCCTTTCCTGGGCCTCAGTTTCCTCAGCTATAAGAAGAGCTCTGACACCCTCAATGGAGAAGAATCCCAAGCTCCATAGGCGGGACTGACCTGGAGGTGGGTTTTCTTGGTTATTTCCCATCTTATATAAAACATTCTGTGTATGTCGATTAATGTTAAAAAATAAGAGGTTCCCATAAGAATCTGGGTTTCACCTTGTCTTGAGGAATCAGAATCCTTGGTCATACTGGTGTTCCCAGCTGCTGACCGCTGTCTGAGGCTGGAGCTGTTCCCTGTTAGGTGGAGGACACATCTCTGGTCCCCAGACCCCTTCAGCCAGTGCCTTCACTACCGTGTTCTGCCTGCCCCAGAAACTCCTGCGTTTGAGACCCCTACCTTGTGTGAACAGCCTTGCTTTGAAACCCCTGCCCTGTTCTTATCTGCAGTGTACATCAGGCAAGTCACTTAGCCTCTCTGAACCTCAGCATGCGGCGTCTGCAGAGGGCTCAGCAGAGACCTTCCTGGCATTCTGTGTATGCTGAGCAGACCTCGTATTGAGTACAGCTGAGCTTGATGGGGACAGTAAGAGAGCTCAGGGCCTTGCCCTCAAAGCGTACACCGGAGATGAGCCAAAACGCAGGAAATGACTAATGGGAGGCAGTAGACCGTGAAACCAGAAGGACCTGAGGTTGTATCCTGATCCTGACACTTCCTAGCTGTGTGACCTTGGGAAAGTTACTGAACTTCTCTGGCCTTCATTTCTGTGGATTCTTCAGCCCTTGAAGCCTCATGATAGATAAGGTGGCTGCAGGGATGCAAGTGAGTTAATGTGGGGAAGTGCTTGGCATGCAGCTGGTGCTGGATGAGTGTCAGGGAACATAGGGGCCAAAGGGGCACCAGTGAGGGAGGACAGGGCACTGAGATGGCCTTGGATCCTGGAAAGTTGAAGAGGATGTGCACAGAAGGCTCTGCAGATGAAGGGGGACAGAAGTATGGGAATGAGGGAGAAGAGCTTGGTCAGGCTACAGCTAGTCTGGGAGGGGTTAAGGGAGGTGACTGAGGGTTGAGGAAGTGGACTGAGGGGCTCAGACTCAACCAGACAATGGGGAGCCAGGGAGTTCTTAAGCAAGGTCTCTCTCTGAAGTCAGTTGTGCTGCAAAAGAATGTACTTAATGGCCCTCCTTTTGGGGTTGATAAAAATACTATTCTCATACTTACCTGCAGGGAGATACCATGATCTGGAAGGTGGTTTGCCCAGGGTGAGGCTCACCTCTTGCACTCCTGGTGTGCTGAACCCTGCAGTTTCCCCAAACGTGGGAAACTTGATGGCATAACTCATGGTAGTAGGAGACTGTGTTCACCCTTTCCCCTAGAAAAAATATTATTCTCAAAAATATTACTTTGGGGCCATGAGGACAGCGGTGTCCCCCTTTCCCCCCTGGATGTCAGGTGCCAGGCTGAAATGAGCCAGGCTTGGGTTTCAGGTGACAAGGGGCAGAGCCCAGCTCCACCCCTGTATGCTCCCAGCAGAATTCCTTGCACCACTTGAGCCTCAGTGTCCTCATCCATTAAACTTAGGGGTGAACCATCTGAAACCTCAAAGTTTCCTTTCAGTGTAGGTTGTTCTGGTTTCTCACCTTCAATGGTGGATGTGTTGTTGTGGGAGGAGTTGCCCTGACCCCTGTCTGGTGAGCTTGAACTACTACTTATTTGTGTGGCTGGTTGGGAGGCAGGGGAAAGGGGTCCCCATCCCCCAAGCTGTCTGTTGATGCTGCCATGGTACAGAAATACACAAAGACAGAATGTTTGTTGAGCGTTTACAACTGGGCCTCATCTGGGCCCCACAGAGCAGACACCTCAGGCAGAAATGCGTGCCCTGTGCCCTGTGCAGCCCAGCGGCAACAGCAGCCTCCTCAGCTTGCCCGAAGACAGGACCCGGTGTATCTGAGGCAGAGCCTTGGTTGGGAGTGTGTGCTGTCTTTTAGGAATGATTTGAGGGCCATAAATCTTCAGTAGCGAAGCAATCGTCAGAGTTTTCATGATGCTGAAGAGTTTAGACTTGTCTTGAGGGGTAACAATTTCACGCAAGTACTGCACCAGCTCCAACTATTTGTTATTATAGAGGTGGATTTTTTTCTCCTTAAGGTGGAATCCTCCTCAAATTTCATGCTTTGCTTTAACTTGTTTTATTTCACCTGGAACACGAATAAAAATAGCCCATGAGATATACATGGTGGAGGAAGGAAGGAGGGCAGAGTGTTCGCTGAGTGTTTGCTACCTGCTGGGCCTGGATCTGGGCCCACAGGGCAAACCTGAAGGCCAGCTCCGGTGCTGGGCCGGGCAATGCTCTGGGAAATCCTCGTGACAGACAGAGAAATTCTGTCTCAGGAATCTGGCAGCCTGCCGAGGTCTCATAGGTGGGCATTTGAAAGCCAAGTGTCAGACTCAGGGCTGTGTGACTTGAAAGTTCATTTTGGGGGAGAAACCCATTTGGGGCAAATTCTCGAATCCCTATTCAGAGCTCTGCAGTCTGAAGCTTATCTCCAGTGGCCAAGATAATGCTCTCCGCAGCTGCATGCCAACTCTGAGTGTGAACAGGATTCCAGGAGTGACTATTTAGCATAGTTGATTCAGGGCCTCCTTGAGTCTCCGCAAGCCCCTTGGAAGCCCTGTTTCCATGCCAACCATTGCTGTGCCACTCATGGGCATTTTTATAGACTCCCTACACCAGGCCCTGAAAGGATGCCAAAGGGAATTATTCCTGCTTAGAAGCAGTCATTTGCATTCCATTTGCATATCCAGCAATTTTTCTAGGTTCTCCCAAAATGGGGGCCAGCTAACACAGTGAGTGGTTGTCTCTAGGGCCTGGCTTAGCTGAATAAAAGAGTCTCAAAATTGTACTGTATGGTGATGGAGGAGCTGAGGCCGCTGAGCCTGAAGAAGGACAGGCTCCTGGGCCCCATCACTGTGCTCCAGTCCCTGCAGGCTGTTTCCAGGCAGAGGCAGCAGGTGGATCTGAGGGCCCAGACACAAAGCTGGGTTAAATGAGGAGGGGGAGCCCAGGAAGACAGAGTCCTGCTCAGAGTCAACCAGAATGTTCTGTGAGCAGGGATGTAGAGAAAGAGTCCATTGTTTTTTGAGAATGCTTCATCTGTATTAGCACCATTTGGTGTTTTATATACTTTTCTCACATTCTCCTATAAGTGTGCTGTGGTTCTGCTAGTCTACAGGTGGAAAAGGTGAAGTCACTTCCTTGTCCAACTGGAGATAATGGTTGAATGCTGGGAGAGAAGCAGGATGGGTGACCAAAAGAGGAACACAGAGGGCATTTCAGGATGGGGACAAAGGTATGGAGGGAGGTGTATTAGTCAGCTAAGGCTGCATAACAAAGTACCACAGGATAGGTGGCTTAAACAACAGACATTTTTCTCATAGCTCCAGAGGCTGGAAGTCTGAGATCTAAATATCAGCAGGGTTAGTTACTTTGAGGCCCCTCTCCTCAGCATGTAGACAGCTGTCTTCCCTGTGTTTTCCCTTGATGTATATCTACTAGTATATCTTAATCTCTTCTTATAGTGACACCAGTCAGATTGGATGAGGCCCACTCTGATGGCCTCATTTTAACTTCATGGCCTCTTTAAAGAGCCTGTCTCCAAGTAAAATCACATTATGGGGTCCTAGAGGTTAGTTATCAACATTTGAATTTGGGGGAACAAACTCACCCCAAAATAGTGGGTATGTGTGTGTCAGAGGGAACATGGAGGTGGAGATGAAGAAGTAAGGGTGGACAGGAGAGAGCCTGTTTCTAGAAGCCTCAAATGCTAAGGTGAGGGACAGGTCCTGCACAGCAGTGTGATGAACTCCTGCCATAGTCTCCAAGCAGGGAGCTTAGGGCTCAAAGGACATTGGAGTCAATTCAGGTGGTGCCAGCTGGACTGGGTCAGGGCCATCTGGAGGGATGCACGTCTCTTTCAGTAGCAGCTCATGGCTCAAGAGTGAGGTACCCTTTGTGTGGGCTGGTTTTCTGGGAGCTGATGGATCTTCTGTCCAGGGAAAGTCATGTGGTCTCATTGCCTAGTTTCCCCACAAAAGCAGAGCCTGAGGCTTGGGACCTGGTAGTTTACTTTGGGGTATGATCCCAGGGACCAGGAGTGGAAGATGGGTGAGAAAGGCAGGAAAGGAGGAAAGCCAGTCCAAAGGGGCGTTTATAAGCCAACTAGAGGCCCAGTGCACAAAATTTGTGCATGGGTGCAGTCCCTAGGCCTGGCCGGCAATTGAAGCACAAGTGTCTGGCGTGGAAGGGCAGGTCCCAGCTGACTTCTGGGTCCTGGGCAGCACCTGGGCCCCTGGCCCCCCGCGTGCCCCTCTCCACCTGAGTTACGGTGCCTGAGTCCCCACGCAGAGATACAGGAAGTGCAGGCAGATGCCGCAGGCCGGGTGCAGCGTGGGCCTCTGGGCTGCCCAGCGGCACGCCACAGAAGATGGGCGGGTAGTGTGCTCTCTCTTGGCCAGCCTCACAGACTGGCTCCTGCACGAACCCACCAGGAGCCCAACTGGCCCCTGTGGTCCCGGTGGCTGTGGCCCGGCTCACCTGGAAGATGCCGCATGGGTGCGGGTCAGGCTACTCGCGGGTGCCCGGCAGCTGAGGGTGGGGGGAGGGGGTTTCCCCAGCACATGAGCCAAGGTGCCCTGGGAGTTAGAGTGAGCTTGGTGGACACCCAGCATTCTCACTGCACCTCTATCCCTGTCACCTCCTCTCCCTGCTGAGGTAACTGGAGAGAGACAGCGTGTTACTGATGTCCACCATGTTCCACACCACCCCCTGATGGTCAGCACATGTCATAGCAAGCAGTCAAATGACAGCCAGAGGGGACAATTTGCATATTAGGCTTTTATTATATAGGATTCCTGGTGTGGGCAACTAGGTCCAGTCTTGCTGGGGACTCTCTGAAGAGTATCCCTGAGGAATAGAAGTTCCTATGGAGTGGAGTGACACTCCCTATACTTCCAGGAGGTCAGCTGTGTCCCCTGTTGTGACTTCAGGAAAGTCCACAAGAAATAACTGGTGTCAGCATGTGGCTCTGGTCACACCTACTATGCACAGCTGGTTGTCCCAGCCCCAACTGGAGTGAAGATGTAGCCCAGAGCATGTGAGGTGGGGGACAAGAGGTACCTAATACACCTTCCAAGCTGGCAAGAAGTATAAACAATGAAACCACTTGCTTTTGGGCTGGAGTCCCTGCTGCCATGCAGGTCTTTGACAGACACTGACCAGTGTGCCCCCTGTGCCAGGCTCCCTGCATTGTGCTGCTGGGCACAGGGAGGTGATGAGAGCTCTGGAAAACAATTCAGGGGATAGTTGGCATCCCTAGTGAGAAACGTTGGGAAGAGGCCTATGGGGCAGGCATGGAGCAGAACTTGCCATTTCTGCCCAGGCAGAGGGAGGTACCATGAAGGTGGCATGGGTTAGAACCCCAAGGATGTGTGGGTGTGTCCCAGGCAGAAGACATGCATCAGGCCTACGGAGCATGGACAGAGGCACCTGTGGGCACCCTTGACACCCACATTGGCAATCTGGCATGCTCCCAGACTTTGTGGGTGTGCTCATAGGTACATCTCTCAGGCTTGTGTGCACATAATGCCACAAGGCCATGGGAAAAAGTGATTCATGCCACTTCCAGGTCTGGTCAAGAAGATGCCTTCTCCTCCACATGGGCTGTTTCCACTCACTGGCTGGATGATGCTAGGACAACCTCTGGATCACACAGTGAAGATGCTGGTGCACAAGACGGAAGAAATCCGAGTCTCCAGGTGACTGCATGAGCCAACCCCCTTGAACTGTGACAAGAATCTATACTAATAACAGGGTAATATGCTAATTAGACTGGATCGACCGGACATCTTCCGGTTGTCCAGTACTCCTTCTGGACAAAGCCATGGTGGCAGGGGCCGAGCAGAAGTGGTTAGGGGCGATCAGGCCGGCAGGGGAGGGCGGTTAAGGGTGATCAGGCAGACAGGTAGAGGTGGTTAGGGGCGATCAGGCCAGTAGGCAGAGGAGTTAGGGGTGATGAGGCAGACAGGCAGGTGAGCAGTTAGGAGCCAGCGGTCCCGGATTGCGAGAGGGATGCCTAACTGCCAGTTTAGGTCCTATCCCGAGGGGTCCCGGATTGGAGAGGGTGCAGGCCAGACTGAGGAGACACCCCTTCCCCCATGCACGAATTTCATGCACTGGGCCTCTAGTGAGAAATATGCCTTTATAGAGATGAGCTGCTTGGGGTTGTTTGTTATAGCTGCCAGCCTTCTCTCACTGGTACCGAAATTCACTGTTTGAAGTGCGGTGTTACCATAAAAGCCTAAAATAGGTAACATTGG